AGGACTATAAAAATAATTATTATATAACCTAATTCAATAATATCTAATATATTTTTTTAATAGATTAGGATATCTAATATTAAACATCATTAGATAATAATAGAAATTATTAATGAAATTGTTTTATTAATAATTGTATTATCTATTATTTAGCGAAGCAAGTCAATATGGCTAATATATATACATTTCAAAATATTAAAGGTCATCAACTTGGTAGTATACGCGAAGAAGAGCTAGAAAAAAAAATACACGATGCTATCAAATCCAAAGCTGAAATTAACAAGTTTAGCGAAAAATTACAGGATAAATACATAAAACAAATGAAGGCTTTTGATCGAGAAAGAAAGGGGTGGAATCGGGATTCATTACGAAATAATACTGAGATCCAAAAATTACGCACCCACACTTTGCAGGTCATTAATGAACATAAGCAACTACAAAATGAAAATACTAATCTTATTTCTCATAATATACAAAAGGATATTTTTATTGCTGAATCCAAGGCTAAGAATGTTACGAAATCCAAGAAAATTAAATCACTCGAGTTTATGATCAAGATATTGGAAAGTAAGTTATCTTCAGCCCAGAAAGATGTGATTTTGATTCAAAGCGACTCATCGAAAAAAGAATCTGAGATTTTATCTCTCAAGTCTAAAATAGTTAAAGTAGAACATGAGTTAGCTTTGAAAGTTAGTGAACTTGAGCGTCTAAAATCGGAGGCTATATCAAACCCCATACTTGGTGGAAATGATGAAAAAAATATAACCAAGTCTGATGATATATCTGCAGTTATTGAACCTAGCAAAAATCTCAGACAATATTTTGTATGCAAAAAAAGTATGGATCAAGCTAAAAAAATCAATAATGATATCTTAGCACAAACTAGCACTTTTGGTACTTGCTTCGTTAATGATAAGATTATCAAACTACCAAAAATTGATACAGAGGTTAATTCCGAAGTAAAAGATAAAACTAGCATTAGTGAAATTAACAAAGATGATATACTAGATATATCGATAAAACCCAATATATCACAGATTATATCTGAAAATGTAACTCCACACCTTATACAACTGGATAATAATATATCTGCTTTAATTGAATCGAATTCTCAGATGAGGCCTGGTCCTGAGGCTTTGCCTCTTCCTGCTGTGGAAAGCACTTTGATATCACCGCTATCAGCATATATTTTTCCTGCTCTGTTAATTATTGTGGTTGTGTGGTTCATGAGATGTATATGGAATATAGATAGGCTTGAAGAGCCATCGCTCCACAGGCCGAAGGAGCCACTCTAAAGGGTCATAAAAAAAATGTTCAATTATGGGATATGTAGATTGGGTGAACATCTATTTAAACTTGGATATTATTTATATATGAAAAAATATTATTAATATTGTATAGCAGAGCTAGTATCTAAAGACACATAAGTATCTTAGTGGAGTCTGGCAATTCTAACCAAGAATACTTAACAATATAGAATAGCACAGCTAATCAATTCAAGGCTTTAATATATTTTGTAAGCCATTTTTTAGCTTCTTTTTGCGAATATGCGTCAATCTGTTTTTCTTTCTCATCTGAATCTTCGAGTTGCATAATTTTATGTGAAGATGGTGGTTGATATTTCTCATCTTCATTAATAAACCGCATGCATAATCCCAATATACTTTCTAAATAGTAGTTGATATTTATTTCCATATTCTGCTCTTTTGCAAACTCCGGATATTCCATATAATCACTGACTCTATATGGTATTAATCGACTCTTTTTATCGTGATAACGCTCACCTTTTACTACTACATAACTAAAGCGCTCACCAGGATCTGGGATATTTAATTTTTTTTCTTTCATTCGAGCTATAAAATGCTGGACATGAAGATTTTTTTTCTTAGGCTTCCACGTAGCCATCCCAATAAATTGACTAAAGTCCCATTGCTTATTTTTGGCCTCTCTAAGAGTATCTTCAACAATTTTATGAATTGATTGTGTATTATTTATATCCATAGCTTCCTACATAATTTTTTCTCCGATAAATTTGAAAAGCTGGAACTGGCCTTGCTTTATGCTATCAATCTCTTTTTTAAAGAGATTATCTGGTTTGAAATTGACAACCCCTTCATGTGGTACACCGAAGTATTTTTTTTTACCAGTAAAACAAACAGGAAATAATACCTCTTCATATGCCATTTTAAGATAAGATGTGCCGTTTTTTATCCTCAGATAAGCATTTACTTCATCACGCAATTTTTTCATCACATTCATAGTAATTTTAACCATTTCAGACCAGTATTCCTCCTTGGAAAGGTTTCTTTCGTTAAAAGCTCTATCATATTTTTCATAATATTTATTTGGACAGGTAAGATATAAAAAATCGGTATCTCCGTATTTTATTCCGAAACCTTTCCCAGATACAAACTTAGCAACAAGATCAATATTATACTGATCTGCAGAAGTGATTCCTCCAGCTAATTCATGAAGAAAGAATGGAGATTTGCTATTTCCTGCTTCTCCGTAAAAAGTATTCATATATACCTTTAAAGCAAACTGCTTGGAATTTAAACAATTATAATCGAAACATATGGATGAATATTCTGAATTTAAGCTTTCTGGGATTTTTTTACCTTTCTCTTTAACCGAACTTATTATTTTCCCAAGATGTTCTTTTTTCTTTCCTAACAAGGCAAGCTGTGCTTTAAGATTTACTCTCTTATTGAATAGATCCTCTAATACAATAGGATATAAACCCTTCTTCTCGAATTGATTATCATGTCTTATACACCAAGCATGGACAATACGGTTATTAAATAGAAACTCAATCTTATACAAGTTATTTCTATTTTTTTGTATAATATTAGCCTCTCTATAAGTTAATATCATTTTTTCTGGAGAAAGGTTGTAAGCCATAATAAGACAGGGATATAAAGATGCAAAATCCAATCCTGTAACAGGCCTCTTCATCTCAATTCTTTTTTTAGGTAGAAATACGTATGCACTAGAATACTTACCTTTTTCTATATTTTTACACGATTTCGTACTAAATAGTATATTACGTTTAGTGGCATAAGCCTCCAAAAGATTTCGTACCTTCATTCCATTTGCCCGATAATGTGAATCAAACAAAGATACATAGGCTATAAAAGCAACCTCCCTATAGTTATTAATTATATTCTGCTTAACCATAAGCTCCTGGCAACACAATGCATCTATAATACAATAATATGCTACTTTATACATTTTTTCTATAGTAGAATGTGATTTATTTGAGAAAATACTCTCTTTTGCTTCTGAGTAAATTTTCCACATTTTATTATATGGCATATTCGCTTTACCAGCCAATCCACATATTTTTAAGTAAAATGCAAGTGAACTTTTCCTATCAACCTCCGCACGAGGATAAAGTTTCTTAAAACATGCACGTATGTCAATTGGTACACATCCTGGTACTTTAAGAAAAGTAGAAATATAATTATCCTCTGGACTAATCTTGATTATAACTGGCTGTACTCTATCATTTTCTTCCTCACTATTATCAATAGCACCTTTTTTAATTTAAAAACTATTTTTAGATTTTGCCCCTATTTTCCCATAATAATTCCATTTTAGAATTTCTTCCTTCGATTTAAATCTTCCCATCATCTGTTGCCACATCCATTCGAGAATATTAAGCCTATAAGCTCTTTCTATAATAAATGGACAATTATATTCAGAATCACTAAATCCAAGTTGAATATCAGGAATAAAGGCTTTCCAGCATAATGCAAATGCTTTCAGTAAATTTGTCTGGTTCTCACATACAACTGTTATCCATCGTGGGTCTGGTGCAGTTTCAAGATCGACAAGACAGATTTGTTTTAACAGTCTTGGATCATCTTTCCAGTGCAAGGTTATACAAATCATGAATACAGTACTTTCTTCATCATGTATTTCTGCAAATTCACCCAACTCTTGTGATTGTGTCTCTATATCCCATGTAAGAATAAGCATACGATCTCTCATGAGTGCTAAAATTAGAAAATGGTCACTTATCATTTTTAGATCTTCTACTGGCCAAAAATCATTTATAGAAACCTGAAAATCGTGTGTATAATGGAAATGTTTTTTGTATCTATACTTACTTATCATAGACCAACCAGAAATTGCAATTCTATTTTCTCTAGCTATTTTACGATGGAATGAAAACATATCATCTGAGGCAGTTTTGAAATTTTTATCTTGGATAGCTTGGAGGGCTTTTTTTCTATCTCTAGTACTAAATGTAAAAATACGTAGATATAACTTTTTTTCTGTATTATACCCCAGTAATAGAAAGGCTTCGATTTGTTCTATTTTATAGGCATTTATTGTATTACAAAGAATTTTGTCTATTTTTATCTTAAAATTATTTACAAATTCATTATCAGGTATTAAGATATCAAAGAAAACTCGAATTCCTGTAAGAGTAACTATCGCTTTTTGACTATTGATAAGGGAGCCATATAGACACAAAACATAATGGTACTTGTCACCTATTTTATGTGATGATCCCTCAAAATCGACAGCCATGAAAGGGATCTTCTCTCATTTAGCCAAAGTATTATTGAGAATCGTAGATAAGCTTTTATCATTTTCTGCGAATATATCATGACTTGAAATTCCTGTTAAATAATCACCACCAAAGTATTGGATAAGTTGACCTTTTTCTGAGTTTTTATTTTCTGAAATCTGTGATTGAGGGAAGGCTTTAAGCCCCCGGTGGTAGGCTCGAAGAGCCATTGCTTCACAATAGAAGGCCCCGCTATTTTCTTCCTCTACCTCTGGTTCAAAATTTTTAGCGATTTCCGGGCTCTTTGGTCAAGAAGGTACTGCTACCGTCTCTACTGGTACGTGATCGATATTTTCTTAGATTTTTTGGGTACTCATGTTTTTTCTGAAAGAATATTATTTGGAATTAAAAAGTTCAAAATGAAAATTAATTCTAAAGAATAGTTATCAGTAGATAATAACCATATCGAAATTATATAAATATGGCATTTTATCATTGCTCCTATATTCTTAGGACTGGAAAAGTTTGCAATCGAGGTTGCTATCGGCCTGAAGGGTGTAAAGTTCACTAGAATTCTCCACCACGCGTACCTTGTAAAGAATGTGGTAAGTTGACTTATTTCGATTATGATTATTGTGATACTCATACAAATAAATATTGAAGACGGGATCGATATCAGCAGAAGAAGCTGAAGAAGATGGCACAAAATAGTGTTATAGGTTTGAAGAACCATTGCTCTGCAGGCCCGAAAGGGCGACCCTAAAGGGTTATAAAAAATATATAGTAAGTATATATGTGATATCTTACTATGGCCAAGTGTCACCGAAAATTAATATATGTGTGTGTAGTATGCAGGATACCTATATTTTTTGAAGTTCCAACTGGGCGAATTTTTTTCTAGGACGTAAACTAGAACAGAAAAAAATATACCTGACGGTAATTTTAAGCCAAACGAAAGAGTTTTAGAATACCCGTCCCAGTTGTCCTAGTTGTCCTAGTAAATTTTCGATCTTCTTACATTTTTTTTCTTTTTTTATCTATAGATATATATAGTATATATTATATATATATAACCATATATATCATTATATATAGTATAAATGTATCATGAGTAGATAAATTTTATTTTCCTAGATTATTACTTTTTACTAGGACAACTAGGACGAATATATAATAAATATAAAAAAACAAGATAAAAATGGATTTTAAATCTTTCTCCTATATCGAATCCGTCCCAGTTAACATTTTTTTTTACTAGGATGAGACCAGGACAGATTTTTTATTAGAACGCGAGCAGATCCATTTTAACTGTATTCTGAAATATCAATTGTGGGGTATAACTTATAGTCGGGTAGGTAGGTAAACATATATCTTGCCACTAGGGACAAAATAAGTCGATATCATATTTGATAGCATACTCGATAGCATACCCGATAGCAATTAAGTGACACATATTTGATAGCAGTTCAGATAACATAAATATAGCATACCCAATAGCGTGAATGTAGCATGCCCAGATAACGTATATATAGCATATCTGATAGCAGAAGTGTGATGACGTAAATGTAAAATTGTCGTCATATTTTTTATAGATCGTGGGTACCCAAGTATGACGACGAACTTGTAAACCAATCGTCACTTGAATGATGATGCAAGCATGAATTATTCGTCACTCAAATGATAGAGCGAATACTAATATATCTCTGACAATGGTGGCGCATTTCTGTCATCACAACACAGATGACAGTGATGCATTTCTGTCATCATACCCGAGTGGGAATAACCTAGACTTATCTCTGATGATGGTGACGCATTTCTGTCGTCACAACACTGATGATGGTGACGTATTTCTGTTGTCATACCTGAGTGGGAATAACCTAGACTAAGTGAAAATAACATAATTATGTTATTTCCACTTAGTCTTTTAAAAAGCGATGTGGTTTGTTTTGCTAAAACTGTTCCTGTAAGCATTTTAATATCTAGTGTCCCTCCATGTACTAATATACTATTTGGCACTGTTTGGGCAATATCTAGCTTTCTTTTTATCAAACATAGGAAGGGTTGATGAATTAAGTATAATTCTCTTTCTGACAGAGCCACCATTTGTAGGATATAATCTAGTTTTGGGATCAGAACTTGATTATTTATATATGCTAGTTGGCTTGTTGTAGTTTTCTTTCTTTCTAATTTATGTGCAAACAGGCCCACAATCTGCTTTACTTTTTTTTTTATCTTGCTTATTTCTTTAGTGATGTGAGAGAATGTGTCTAGAAAGTGGATTTCATTAAGCTTTTTAACTGCTTCCACTGCAGCTCCGCTATATTCTATTTGTCTTTCTTTGAATGGAAGTTTTGAGTTGAATGCAACTAGTTTGGACTTGTTACTGTTGATTTCTTTGCTATTTAATTAAAAGAACTGTTCTGCAATCTGGATCATTTGCTTAAGCTAGTCTTTGGAGCTGGCAATCCATGTCATGTCATCCGCATAGGCGAGGACTGCTTGTCTTATACTTTTTTCCTTACTTATTCCTAGCAGCTCTTCAAATTGCTTTGACATTTCGATTTTATAACCTAACTCTTTGTTTTTTTGTATTCGGTCTAACAGAGGGTCATAGAAGATTCTCCATAGTAGGGGAGAGATAGCCTCTCCTTGATCAATACCCTCTTCTGCTGAAACTTCTTGTGTTAATCCGAATGCTGTTATAATCTTTAACTTTCTGTTTGTGAACAGGTTTAGAATGAATTTGCAGCATCTGTCTGGGACTTTAATTCTTCTTAAGACTTTTCTAACATGCTTAGGTTTACTGAATTGAATACCTTCTCCATATCTTGAAATAGTAACCAGATTTCTCGCTTATTTTCTTCTGCATCCTCAATAAGCAATTTCAGTATATGAGCTGGCTCTTCAGTAGAATTGTCTGGTAATCCTGCAAAGTTGGGACCACATAAAATATCTTTTTCTTTAATGACTTTGCTTAGTCTCTTCGTTAGTATCTTTGTCACACATTTTCTAAATACTTCTATTAA